TGGCAGCAAAATCAAAAAAGAGGACACGAGCAGTCTCATCTCCTTTCTAATTTAAAAGACGTTTGAAAAAAAGTCATTATTAGTGAAAGAGAGTGAACCAGATTTAGAGTCACCAACCCAATGATTGGGCAAACCGACAGCGAATTACGCTTAGGTTTACGGCTTGATGTCATTCAGCAGCTATTGGGCTAGTGAAACCAGCTAATTGGGACATTTATTGATATTTAAGCATGTGCCCTGACTTGCCAGAAGGTTGGAAAAGCTGCCTTTAAAAAACGTAGCTCTTCATTCTCAGACCTAAAAAGCATCTCTTGGGTGCGCATCACTTGTTACGTAATAATAAATACTGCAGCCTCAACGAGGCTAGTGCAGGAGTTGGAAAAAACAAGAACAAAAACAAAATTCATGAACAGACTTCTCAATGCTCCTGCAAAGCAACATAATTACCAGCCAACGTGGCTGTGAGTTGAAATGATGCTCAGCTTTGCAGAAGAGAGAACTAGAGAGGTTGAAGCTAAGTACCGAAAGAGAGTGAAAAAGAACTTCGACAAAAAACAGAATACAGCAGTACCAAGCATTGAGGTTCAGGACCAGGTGCTAGCGATGAAAAAATTGTCAACCTCGGCAGTGAGTCACAGATGGCCATTTTTTTTGTCAAAATGGCAACCCAGCAGGGTCATTTAAAGATTGCCTGGTGCGTTGGCCTCAATGGATCCTTGGAATTCGCATCAACAGCCGATGTTCTAAAAGAGTACGATGCCAATTTTCAAAGGTGGGTTTACTCTGCCATGCGAATTTATTGGATACAAAAATGACTCTGAGCAAGTGAGAAGAAAATAAAATCCCGATAAGATGTATTATTTCTCATCAGGCAATTCTAAGGACTTCATGCTGCAGTCTGGCTAGTTGTGATTACATCAGGTACCAAAATGGCCACTCAGCGTCACAAAAACTATCCAAATTACTGCTTATTGCTTGGCAATGGAGCCACAGTACGTGGCAGTCAAGCGAGTTTCACGATTTCTCGCACAAGCACATGACGAGCAGCTTATTATGTGTTACGATGTCAGGGCACTGTAAATATGGAAACTAGCTTTTAAAATGATATTGTAGATACTTTCGCAGAGTGCACTCGCACTTTACAGTACATTTTCTAGATTCTTGAAGGCTAGGTCTTTCATTTCACGCAAGCAGGTAATATTTTTGCAGTCAGTAGCCTTTACACACTGTGGGAGGTTCGAGAACAAGTGCTGCGAAAGTGAAGGAAGCTTAGTCAGTTGCAAAATACAAATGATTTCTTGCAAAAGAAACTGGGAGGACTGAGGTAATAAAATAAAGATGTTAGAAATGATGACAAACAGAGTGTGTCTGTCTGTATGATGCGCAGTCTCTTCGCAAACTACCTGGCAGCAACTTGTACGATAGGCGAACGTTATCTGCATTGAAAGAAAAATGTGAGCTAACTTTTGCAAAATCGCAAAAATTCAGTATGTTTTTAAAACAATGCATATAAATATCTGTCAACGGCGTCGTGTTGTACAATTTTGTTAGTTACACTTTTCAGTATAGTTATGGTATAAATGATTGCATATTCTGCATAAATCAAACATTACCTGTTCACCTAAATGTAATGATGTTTTTTATTCTTTTCCAAGGAGCCAAATCTAGCAGTGTTGCAAAGGGCCGAATGAATTTCTGATTAAAGTGCTGCAAAGAGATTATAAAGTGTTCATAAACTGATCATTCATCCCCGAACTGCTATAGTGTAGCATTCCCTGTCATGTGCACTGGACACACTATCATACTTTCTTTGCCTTACGCGAACATGCATTTTCTATGAGAAGGAATGTCTTTGAAGATGCATTTTTGAGCACTACGCGCAATTAGCTGCATCGGGTCATTTTCTTCTTTCACAGGACATTTGTCAATTATTTACGTGTAGAGAATGCAAGCTCAAACCACAAACTATTTTTGATTGCAGTTTTGATGTACACACTGTAGTCTTTCCCACACTAAGTGTAATGATTTGCAACATTATAGGCACTCGATCTTAAACATTCACACATGCCTTTACGAAAATACGTAGCTACTCTGCGGTGAAGCCTGAATTACCACAGGCGTACGTTTTATTATTTTATAGCTTTTGACAAACACTCTAAGCTCTGGGTTTCAGTTGAATTTGTTTTTTGTTGCATAATTCATTCCACTGAAGTATATTCGCACTAAAGGCGCTGTCACTCTGCAACTCCAGCAATAGTCGTGCTCGCGCTCGGTAGCGTAGTAACCGAAGCTGCGCCTGCCCAAGCACTGTTTGCAAACTTGAGTGCACTGACGGTCTCGTAAGCAACCATTTTACGGCTCTGGTCGGAACTGCATAAAATAACTTACCGAGACCAGCATATCGACGTCTTCTTAATCTTCACTGGATACGACTGTCCACTTCTTGGTGTCTCCTGCAGTCGTTGAAAATGGACCAACACTGCTGGCGACAGTCAAGTGCAGCTTCGATTGAGGCACGCTCACGGTGTTTCTCGGTACACTTGATGTTTTACACGTACTACGTAATGATCGGAAGTCGTTTTTCATTATCAAGATGGCATCAGTGAACACAGGGCACCCATTTATTCTTGCTTGGCAGCTGCCTGCAGCGTCGTCATGGGCGCAGACATGTTTGCTGACGATATCATGCAGGAACCAATGAGCGCGCAGTTTCCGGGAGCCTTGTAAGGGCGCCTGGCGCAAAGTATTGTGAAGGGGTCTATCCGCTCACCTTTTTAAACTCGCGTCCGGGTCACCACTTTGTAGCGTACTTGCCCCCAAGTGGGAGCGGAAAGAACACACCTACACTTCTTGAAGCTTGGGACAAGAATCCTTTATTGTTACGGAAAACAGGGCTCGAAAACACGATAACACAAAAAGGAGCGTCGCTGCTTGTTGTACGCGGCACGCCTGAGATAACAGAAGCTAGGTTGGCCGCGTATGCGCCATGCGCCTCGGCATTTGACTTGGTACGCGCACAACACAAAAAACAATCACGGCCACCGTCATTCACTTCCGCTACAAACTACCAAATTGGTTGCCCATAAATGGCTCGTGCTTGAAGGTGAACAAAAGTAAGTATATGATATTTGCGCCAACGAATAAAGCACGTAATTGTTAAACTACATTGAAGTTTTCTGGGGGTTGGTGAACTGGAACAGGTGTGAACATCTAAATATTTTGGTGTATACGGTTTAAAAAGTATCTGTCATGGGATACTTATGTTACTAACATTGCGGCTGATCTGAGCAAAATTACTGGTGGTTACATTAAGATACGTGATACTGTGCTCACGTGGTTAAAAAGAGTGGCATATTATTCGTAAATTTACTCTAGACTCTCGTACTGCATACTAGTATGGGGAACTTCGTATACCCAAAACTATTGGACGCGAGGTCAAGTATTCATTATGGCTGACAGAACAGTATTTCTCAAATCCGGCATTGCTAAATGATCCCCATTTTACTGATGCCAATACGTTTATAAGAGTTCCTTTAAATCAATGGTAATTGAATAATGCTGACTTTTTCTATTTTGTCTAGTTTCTAAAGGTACGTTTTAAGGAGTGCTAGTGATGTTATGGATGTATAGTTATTGATTCTTGTCATTCGCTTTATACCAAGAGCCGAGAGCCCTTCTCTACGGCTCTTGGTACGTGACAATAATTTGTTATATTGGTAGATGGTAATGTACCAGATGTATTTATTGTAGAATTATTCTGTTCGCTGTAGCCAAATTTTTTGACGGAGCAGAAGCCTCAGTCAGGCCTCAGTGCCTTTTGCTCTAGCCACCCTTCTGTAATGTTACGGAAGAAATACAGCCTTATTATAAAAAAAATTCTGCAGCAGAGTGTTGACCAGGGTTGTTTGGGTTCAAGTGGTAATCAAACCCGAATCGTCTGCGGGGCAAGTGGATGTTCTATACCACACTGCCACGCCTCCGCTTGTGAAAACAGCGGAAAGAACTTCCTTTGCTTAGAAATTCATGCTGTGAAAGTGGTTTTCATGCTTCACAAACACGCGCGTTCTGTATAGATCCTTCACAACGCAACATGCAATATTGCATCGATTATGCGTGGTACAAGCCTTCATTTTCAATGGGTGTCAGAATATGTAATTATCATAACGGCTTTGGGGTTGAAAACCGGTTCACCACTGCAAAAGGCACACACGCTACTGCGCCTATTTCCTTTGTGGATTCATAGCAACTTCGAAAAGACCTAATGCATCAAGTCTGTGAAGTACGCACTAAGAATAGGATGTCGCTATCGTGTTCAAGTCATAAAAGCGAAATTTTAGAGTTGCCTAATTTTTTATATTTAGTTTATTTGCATCTTTCTAGGTTTTTAGGTCACGCAAACATGACAATTTTTTGCTCAAAACCAACGACGCCGGCACCGCCACCAGCGCCGAAATTAAAATAAAACGAGCTCTTTATTGCTATCGCCCTAGAAGTCCTCACCACGGCATTTTGTAAAACACCCATCTCGTATGTAGATGATTATGCAAACGCGTCTGATTGAACCTTTGTTTAATAGGCGTACCTGAAGCTCAGCTGGCTTTTGATTGGAAAGGGTGAGTAAAGAACCTCATATGTTGTCTCGGTAACTTCATTAGCAATAATGTGACATTTGCAAGCGCCTATTACGTAACAATGTCTATAAATCGAGAGAAGCATTCCTCTCGAGGCACGGCTGTTACGAAATGACCACACTTGGACCACTCAGAGTCATTTCAGAGGCGCGTGTAAACAAAAAGGGCACTTCTTTGTTTCTTATCGGCGTAGATCAGGTGCAATTGTGGGAGCGACAAGTGTCACAATCTGGGCTAGCATGACAACCGTGTCAGCGTTAAGATTTCATAATGCACTCACTCCCCATGACACCACTCTTCTATTTTGTCTCAAAATTGGCATGGTCCAAATTGTAATTAAACAGGAAAGACCAGCCTATAGTCCTGTACCTTGTCCTTGAGCATGCCACCTTTGCCGAGAAGCTTCTTGAACAGCTTCAATCTGACGTGCGGGTCCAGTGCGCTGAGCGGGTCGTCGAGGACGTAGATGCTGCACTGGTGGTAGGCAGCCCGAGCTAGGCACACGCGCTGCTTCTGGCCGCCGCTCAGGTTGTAACCCTGAATCAGAAAAAGTGCATGCCACTCGTATCATCTATTGTTTATTCAATTAGTAGTCAATTCACAATTAGCAAGTCAGCCAGAAGTCTACCCTGGTATGAATGAACCTGAGGGTACAATGAGTAGGCTCAGGTTCATTCCTTTTCGAGAAAATATTGTTACGTGAGGGTACACCGAGAAACGAGGTTACAGCTAAGAAATAACTACACGACGCCAAGCCTAAGCCGAGATGGCAAGCCAGAGCATGCCCCAAATCCCAGAAACACATCGTCTTTCTCATTGTCTGTCTTAATTCTTCAGCGTGATGTAGTCTCGTAACATGACCCCCGGTTGCAGAAGCACCGTCTCGGTGCTTTCTATGATGTTGCGGAGTGGTAGAGCTTATGTCGGGAGACATGAACAATGTCTGTAGACATTGGAGATGACGACTTCAGCGGGGCTATCTCGTAGGTAACGTCGGTCATCTGGCGCAAGACGCGGTATGGTCCTGAGTACCGAGAATGCAGCTTCTCAGAAAGACCAACATGCCGAGTCGGTGTCCACAACAGCACAAGGGAACCCGGGGAAAAGGAAACGTCACGATGATGTGTGTCTTAACGTTGCTTGTGTTGCTCTTGCAATGCTAAGAGGCGCTTCCGAGCGACTTCTCGTGCTTTGTGAGCACTGGTGATAGTGTCACGGGCATATTCAGTCGGAGAAGCGACAGCTGTCGGAAAGATGGTGTGAAAAGCTAGAGTTGGGCCGCGGCCAAACAAGAGGTAGGATGGTGAAAACCCAGCGGTATCGTGGCGTTAGGAAGTGTGTGCAAATGTGATCAATGGCAATGCAACGTCCCAGTCTAGGTGGTCAGAGGAGACGTACATGGAGAGCATGTCAATTAAAGTCCGGTTTGAATCGTTCGGTAAGCGCATTAGTTTGTGGATGGTAGGCCATCGTAAATTTATGTTTGGTTTCGCAAGAGCGAAGCAGATCGTCCATAACTCGGGAGAGGAAATAGCGTCCACGATCTGTGAGGAGTTGGCATAGAGCATCATAATGGCGGATGACATCGTACAGAAGAAAATCGGCAACATCTGTGACACAGCTGGTTGGCAAAGCCCGCTTGATGGCGTACCGGGTTGTATGATCCGTAGCGACAGCTGTTCATTTGTTTCCGGAGGTACACTGTAGGAACGGGCCTAAGAGATCAAGACCAACTCGTATGAAGGGGTCAATAGGAATATCAAGTGGCTGGAAGTGTCCGGCAGGACTCATAGAAGGTTTTTTTCGACGTTGGCACTGCTCGAATGCGACGACGTAGTGGTGCACAGAGCGATAAAGCCTGGGCCAGTAAAATCGACGCTGCACGCGGTCGTGAGTCCGGGAGAGACCAAGGTGACCGGTTGTGGGGGCGTCATGGAGCTGGGCGATAACACTCGAACGTAGGTGGGAAGGCACCACAAGGAGCAGTTTGCGCCCATTTGTGTTGACATTGTAGCGGTACAAGAGGCCATGTTTAAGTAAAACAGTCGAGTAGACGAATGGGGCATTGGAGAGTTCAGCTTCTCAATAATGTCACGTGAGACGGGAGCTTGGCGCTGTTCATCACGGATGTTGCTAAAAGCAGAGAGAAAGAGCACACATGGCGGTGCTTCGTCTAAAGCCTCAGGAGGGTCCACTGGATAGCGGGACAAGCAGTCAGCGTCATGGTGTAAACGGCCAGGTTTGTAAGACAATGAGTAGTGATATTCTTGGAGCCGTAGTGTCCAGCGACCAAGACGCCCAGATGGATGCTTTAACGACGAGAGCCAGCAGAGGGCATTGTGATCAGTTGTGACAGTGAAACGACGACCATGCAAGTAGGGCCGAAATTTGCCAACCACCCTAACTAGAGCAAGGCATTCCCGTTCATTGATAGAGTAGTCCCGCTCGGGCGCAGAGAGCAGACGGCTGGCATATGCGATAACGCGGGCGCAGCTGCTTTGATGCTCGAGCAAAATAGCACCGATTCCATGGCTGCTAGCATCAGTGCGGACTTCTGTTGGGGAAGACATGTCAAAATGGGCCAGAATAGGTGGTGCTGTGAGCAACACGATAAGATTGGAGAACGCCGAAGCCTGCGAAGCGCCCCAACAGAATGAAGCATCCTTCTTCAGCAAGTCCGTAAGAGGTCGGGCCACATCCGCAAAATTGTTTACAAAGCGTCGGAAGTAAGAACATGGACCTAAAAAGCTTCGGACTTCCTTAGTGCTGGTCGGGACGGGGAAGTTTTGCACAGCTCCAACTTTATCGGGATCAGGGCGTACGCCAGAGGAGTCTACAAGATGGCCTAACATGGTTATTTGTTGGCGTCTGAAGTGGCACTTCGATTAGTTCAGTTGCAGTCTAGCGTTACGAAAAGCAGAAAGATTGGAATAAAGGCGGTCGAAATGTGTTTCAAAGGTCGGGGAAAACACAATAACGTCGTGGAGTTAACATAGGCAAATTGACCTCTTGAACCCGCACAAGAGAGTGTGCATCATTCGTTCGAAGGTGGCAGGGGTATTGAATAATCCGAACGGCATGACCTTAAACTGGTAAAGACCGTCAGGGGCACAAAAGCAGTCTTCTCGCGGTCAACATTGTCGACAGCAATTTGCCAGTACCCTGAGAGAAGGTCGAAGGAAGAAAAATACTTAGCGCCATGAAGGCAATCCAGGGCGCCGTCAATGTGCGGTAGTGGGTAGACATCTTTCTAAGTGATCTGGTTCAGATGTCGGTAGTCGACGCAGAATCGCCTACTGATGTCTTTTTTCTTTACAAGAACAACAGGGGAAGCCCATGGACTTGAAGATTGCTCAGCTATGTCTTTGGCGTGCATTTTCTCGACTTCCTTTTGAATGATCTGACGCTCCGCTGGGACACGCGGTACGGCCGTTGATGTACCGGAGATGCATCGCCAGTGTTAATGCGGTGCTTCATAATGCTTGTTTGACCTAGCGGACGGTAACAGAAGTCGAATACGTCAAACTACGATTCAAGGACGTGACGGAGCACGTCAGTTTGATGCGGCAAAAGTCCACTGCGATCATGTTTTTCACATTAGAAGATGGACTCTCTGCGGGCAGTTGCGGCGACGCACATCATTGGGGTACAAAGCTGAGATGACGCAGTCCTAAGAGGGTGTCAGCATGGCGAGGGCTATTCCACACGGAAGCACTTGCGGACACAGAGCAAAGTTCAGCAAAGGGATGCAAGCACGGTTTTCCCTTACCGTAATAATAGTGTGCGGATAAGTAACACTGCGAGTCAGAAGGACGGATGTAATGGGCGTGAGCACGTAGTCTCCATCAGGTACAGGTGGCGACGCTGCTACGACAATGCAGGTAGCTGTTTGCGGTGACCAATGTACATGTTCAGAAGAGCGGAGATGAACTTGTGGCGGACTGGGCGCATCAGGCGTACAGGGCAGGTAAAGTTGCACCGTTCTAGCTGAACAGTCCATGAAGGCCGAATGGGCGGACATAAAGTCTAGACCGAAGATAACATCATTGGTGCAGTTGGTGAGAAGAGTAAAGAGGACGGAGGTTTGATGTCCGGCTATAGTAAGGCGTGCTGTGCAGACACCAACAACGGCAGTTTCACTGACATCAGCAACACGAACAAATCGTGAAAGGGCTGGAGTCAAGACTTTCTTTGAGCGGTCACGAAAGTGCGAGCTCATAACAGAAATTTGGGCGCCAGTGTCGACTAAAGCTTTAACAGGTACACCATCCACTTTTACATCAATCAAGTTCGGGTTGGTCGACAGGGTCAACAGAGGAATTGTACGGCAAGTGGTAGCTGCAGCGTCACCTGCAGGAGCGGCACCAGTTAGTTTCCCAAAGGAAACCGTCGGGCGAAGGACGGGGATGGGGAACGGGGTGGCGGAGGAGACCGCGAGCATCTACGTCGTGGTGAAGGCGAGCACCTGTACTAGGCATTGGTCGTCGCGGTTATGTCGTAATGAGCTGAGTCATCACTGCGGGTTGGTTCTTGGCCAGAAGGGCGGGCTGATGTGTCAAAGTTCGTGAAGTTAGGGTTTGTGCACGAGGGCGAGATCCACGTGCTTCGGCAATGACGCGAAATGTGTCCCACTCATTCGCAATGGAAGCAAGTTGGGCTGTCGTCAGGCGTCCTCCATGAGTTTGGGTCTCGGTTACGTGGAGCAGGACGCCGGTAGGGCTGACGTGTGTTCAAGGTAGGCGGATGAACATCGGGTCGGTGCACAGGACAAATCGTCTGAAGGCCCGCGTTTGCCAATTCTTGGCGCACAAGGCTCTCTATGAGGGACATAGTGGGCTGAGGATCGTTCGGCGTCAGGACCTTCAAGGATGCTGGTGACATCGCTTCGATTTCGCGTCGATCGACCCTTGTAATGTCAGCAAAGGGTCGATTGGGCTGGGTCTCAAAATGGAGGTCCTCACAAGTTGATGTTGCTGCGTTGTTAGGAAGACGGGTGAAGTGGTGGGCAATGCGACGGCTTTTAGCCTCTTGGAAATGTCGGCACTCCTTAATGACGTCTTGAACTGTCGAACAGCCTTTAAATACAACAAGGCTAAAGGCACCAACAGCGATGCCCTTGAGTACGTGCGCAAACTTGTCTGCATCGGTCATGGTGTTATCAGCTTTACGGCAGAGGGTCAAGACATCTTGAATATAGGCTAAGTAAGACTCCGTGGATGTCTAGACATGGTTACCAAGCTCTTTCTTAGCGGCCTGCCTGCACCCGGCAGATTGGCCAAACTACTCGCGCAACTTCGTCTTACAGACGTCCCAGCTGGTGAGCTCTTCTGCGTTGTTGAACCACGCCTTGGCCGTACCTTTCAAGTAAAAGATAAGATTTGCCAATATTATGGTTGGATCCCATCTGTTGTTTTGACTCACGAGCTTGTAGAGCTGAAGCCACTCATTGACGTCTTCACCGTCAGTTCCCGAAAAGTTGCCAGGATTGCGAGACGGAGTGGTCACAATAACTACATGTGAGGTGGGCGTCGTTGATGCGCGAGGCGTGGCTGTTGGCGCAGCATCCCTGTCGGTGGACATGTTAGAAGCGGCAACTTGCCGTCCGCTGCGAAGCTCCGTCGTGCTTCGCTACCCCGCACCTTCCATCAAAATGTTACGGGAGGGTACACAGAGAAACGAGGTTACAGCTAAGATATATCTATACGACGCAAAGCCCAAGCCGAGATGGCAAGCCAGAGCGTGCCCCACCTCCCAGAATCACGTCGCCTTTCTCGCCATCTGTCTTGATTCTTCTGCGTGATGTAGTCTCGTAACAACATTGTTTGGTTGCCAGCTTGTAAAAAGAATGTGCTTGGCGAGGCCAGGATGCAAAAAAAGAACAGTGTCCTACACTCGCCGTCACTGCGACTAGTAGCGATGAGTAATACTCTCACATTTAAGTGCACATATCTCCCTGGCAAAGTGGGCAAGTTGATTATCATTACCAGAGTATGAGTGCGTAAATATGAACAATCCTAGGGCTTTGCTCTTATGCTGTCGATTGTGATGTTTAAATTAAAAAAACTACGAGAGGTTTTTCAACGAACATAGAGTTTGGGCTAGGTGATATTGAATCATAGCTTTCGAAAACGCAAAAGCACATGACAGCTCCAAACTACGACAGCTTCCGTAGATGCCTGATCATGTGTCATGAGTAGGCTTGTATGAAAGTTCTAACCAGATACAATCTTCCTTCTAAAAACGTTCCCTGCGCACTAAGAAAGTATATTCCTATCAAAAATGCAATACCAACCAGCCCAAGTACCCACTCTTTTGCTCATATCTCGACTATAATTAAAGGGTTGAGGTTAAACGCCCCGAAATCATGGCATCATTATAAGTGGCGGGCTTCAGACATTGTGACTACTTCAGGCGTGCACGTAACTCTAAGAATATGGGCCTTAAAATTTGTATCTCCATCACAAACATGTTGCCGCCATGGCCGGGATTCGGTACCACGAGCATTGGAACAGCAGTCGAGCACTACAACAACCTGGCTAATGAAGAGCGTTCATGACACCGATGCGGAACAGTTTTTCGTTTCTCTTACTCCTAGACAGCATTCGCTGCAAAAAGAAAGAATGGTAATTACCTTCTCTCCTATTTCCGTGTGGTCCCGGGCCGGAAACGTACTGATGTCTTTCACAAGCTCACACGCTTCGAGCACTTGGCTGTAGAGTACCGGATCGTAAGGTTTTCCAAAGAGTACGTTGTCCCGCAAAGTCGCGTTAAACACGGTAGCTGCTTGGGGCACGTAGCCGACGGTTCCCTGCAGCGTCCAAACAGTAAAAGAAATAGAAGATTGTTTTCCTATAATTATAATTTTCCTTATAATAAACTTAACGTTTATAAGGATCACCTTAAAATGGCGGTCGCACTCTGGAGGTACCCTCTCCGCATTTTAGTCATCATTTGCTGACGCACTACGCTTACTGCGCTCATCGTATGGCTGTGAATTGTATTGCATTAGAAAGGTTACGTTCTCCACTGTCTAATGGCAGCTAGTATTATCGCCTAGTCTGAAGCGGTATTGCACCGCAATGAAAACAGTGTGAGGGAAAACCAGCGTTTTTGCTGTACAAGCCTTCGTTTTACTGGAAGTGCGGCAAAACTGTTCAACATAATCAAACGAAATTTTCTGATGCTCCCAAAGAAGTGTAACGCAAGGTTTCTATGAAGTGACATTGCAAATAAAATATTGAGAAACTAATAAAAACTCCAAATAAAGTTGGCCAAAAAATATAGGTTTATTAGTATTTAACTTCTATTTTGGGTGTAGAACGACACTACTGAAAGTGCTTGAAGTGGTTCTGCGTTCTGACGTATAGTTCACGGGCTATTACCACTTAGATTCAGCAATTTATCGCTCCACTTATTCAGGACTTATCGACGAATAGATAAAATTGTCTAAACTAAATTTCTGAAATCCTAAGCAGTGAACAAGCTAGCTTTTCTCTGGGATTCTATGAAGAGAGAGTTGTAGAAAGTAAATATAAAATTTAGCTCAGTAGGCAAGTAACTGTTATACAAACTTTAATTGACTTTCGATAATTTATTCTTCATAGAAGCCCAGAGAAAGGCTTGCTGCTTCAGTTATAAAAATTTCAGAACTTCAACCTAAATAGCTTTGTCCCTTCGTCGGTATTATATGAACACGTGGAGCCATAAATTGCCAAATTCAAGTAATAATATTTTATAAAGTATTCGTTAGAGGATAAAAAACTTCGTGCAGGGAATAAGTACAATGAAGCCTTGAATTAAATTTATTGGATCGTTCAAAACTAAAGAATCACAGCATATCAACGGAGTAATTGACGATTGGTGTGCGGAGCGTTTGTCAGTTCGTCCGTGCTTTAGTCCGCCCATTCGTCCTTGCTTTCGTCCGTCCATGCGTCCACCTGTGCGTCCGTCCGTGTGTTCGTACATCCGTGTGACAGTCGGTGAATCCATCCTTCTAAGCGTCCCTCCATGCGTCCATTTGTCCTTCGGTGCGTGTGTTGATGATTGATATGTGGGGTTTAACGTCCCAAAACCACCATATGGTTATGAGAGACGCGGTAGTGAATGGCTCCGGAAATATTGCCCACCTGGGTTTTTTTAACGTGCACCCAAACCTGAGCACACGGGCTTACAACGTTTCCGCCTCCATCGGAAATGCAGACGCCACCACCGGGATTCTAACCTGCGGCCTGCGGGTCAGCAGCCGAGTACCTTAGCCGCTTGACCACCACGGCGGGGCATCGGTGCGTCTGGTCGTGCGGCTGTCCCTCTAATTGTCTGTCTGTCTATGCGTCCGCCAGTCCATCTGTATGTCCATCCGTCCTTCCGTCTATGTAATGAACACTTCAAGTACAGCCATCTCACGACTCTTTTTTATGTATATTCATTATGTACAAGTGCCGCCATTGAGCGGGCTATCTAAGGACTGCTCTTTTGGATATGTGGCAATAGTTTCTACGTACACCATCGCAGGATAGACAAACCCACACAAGTAAGGAGCTTCGCCCTTAAACACAAAAAAAAACCAATTAACTCACAAACGTACATTGTTTTGCCAAACTTAATTGGAGCCTGCAACAATTTACGGTTGCTTTACTTGCAATATCATTCCCCGCCACGGTGGTCTAGGGCCTGAGGTACACGTATGTGGACCCACAGATCGCGGGATCAAATCCCAGAAGGGGCGGCTGTATTTTCGACGGATGAGAAAATGCAGTAGGCCCGTGTGCTCAGTTTTGGGTGCACGTTAAACCCCAAGTGTCCGAAATTCCTGGAGCCCTCTAGCACGACGTATCTCATATTCATATGGTGGTTTTAGGATCTTCAACTCGAAATGTCACTTGTGTTATGGCGTTTATTAGCAGGCACACAGCGAGTATACACAATAGCGACAGTAACGGCCAAGCACGGACACTCAGCGCGAGCAGCGTCTTTTAGGGTAGACCCAATAGAGAACATTTGAGAGTTTGACCCACTTCAGTGTTCGGCGGCTTCTCTACAATTACCCAGAGGTTGATGAGGGAGCCGCCTGGCGACATAACAGCTTGTCACTACGAGCGGGTCATAGTAAGCCTTCAGGCGCTCCACGTTGACTATGTCGCGCCCGCGACGGCGCATGTCCGAAAATTGTTCAATTGGCTCGACAAGATAGTTGACTGGAGATGTGCGCTCGATCACACGGTAGGGACTTTCATATTTCGGGAGTAGTTTGAAAGAAAGGCCAGCTACAGAGGTCGGGATTTGAGAGCCATACAAGGGAACCAGGACGGAACGTGCACAGTAAAAATATTTACACCCAGAAGGGTGTAAATGAGCTTGTCTCATGGACGACACCCTAAGGGTGTTAAATCAGCACCTTCAAAAAAGGGTGCTTTTCCATGCACCCTTAGAATAGGGTGTACATGTAAAAAAACTGTAGGGTGTTACAAAAACACACTTAAAGAAGGGTGCCTTCAATGTCCATCACTTTTTTAACACCCACTGAGGAGGGTGCAAGAAGGGTGCACAAGGTTGTTGAGTGCCCATGGCAGGGGTGCCAGTATTCTTTTAGACTGCACTAATAGATATCAGCATGCACTGATTACACACTACTTGAAAAAAGTGGTCCTGATTATCAATGGAGCACCACCTGTCGAGCTCCATTCATTGCGTGTGGGTAAAAATATAAACACGTACAATTGTGTATGAACTTCTGCCGGATCTATATATATTTCACAGTATATGCATAATGCGCGTTACAGAAAACTAAGCCTTGCTGTCCTTGCATATTGCATTTATTTATTAGGCAAATAAAACTTATACACTTTTCTTCTGCCACACAACTTTGTCACCAGAAGTGCAACATCTTCACGTATACGTGCACTACAGACGCAACACCTCAAATTTTTATTATATTTTTTAGTTTCTTTTTATTGACAATTCTTTGTAACATACAATTACACTGGTTTCAGTTTAGTATACTGCTTCAAGTACATAGAGACTACAAATGAAATACATGCTAATATATCCCTATATTCTTTCAAGTATCTACAAGCCCAGTGGTTTCCTGTTTATTACTCCTTCATGTACACAATAGATTAATAGGAATGAAATACAGGCAAATATATACTTATAATTCTTTCAAATATATACAATCACCATGATTTCACTATATACGCCTTCATGTACACAATCGTTCCCTATAAGTGATGCACACGAAAATATATACCGATAGTGTTTTCAAATGTAAACAATCACAGTGGTTTAATTTTTGTATTCCTGGATGTATCACAATTGGTTATGAGAAATGATGTACATACAAACATATATGGGTTTTCACACATATAACTTTAGCGAATACTTCAAAAATCAATACAATAATCAGAAACAGAATAAGTTAAAAACGAGCACAAAACTGAGTCACGACACACAAAAAACAAAAGAGGTAACGCATAATTATGGGTAATGACACAGCTGGGTCATTTCATGCCAAAAGTCCCAGCCATTTTGGCAACCATCTCAAATGTATTCGAAAAACTCGTGCTGCATTGAAAATAGTGAACTTGTGGAATATTTAGGAAAGGAAAAATATTTGGTCTTGTGGCTGCCTTCGGAACTTCCTGGAATGCTGTCTTGGTGGTGTATATGAAAAGTTTGATTTCAAAAGCACCGCTCTTTTTCCTATATGAAACTCGGTCTGCGTGTTAAGTAATAAGAGATTAATTTGGGCGAGTTGGTTTGTCATGGTTGTGTTCTAGTCACAGAGCGACAACTTCAGGAAGAGACAAAAAGGACAGGAAAGAGCACCGACTGTCAACGGAAATTAATGAATGTGCTACGAGCGCTTTATACGGAGTACAAGAACAGTGCTCATGCGCGACGACACGTGTGACCACTAGAAAATAATCTTAACTGAGAAAAGAATACTCCCTCTCGAAAAGGATAAGTGAACGTGTAGTGATGCACTCATCATTGGTCTTCCTGATAAAAAAAATAAGTCTACAAACTTTAAATTGGCAATAAGTAAACCTATTCTCGTGACGAATGGTCCAAGATTGACCATTCCTGTTGCTGTTTAGTACAGACACTTTTGAAAGCCTGCAAGGGGTGGAAAACAACACTGTAATATCATGTCTCCTGGCTATTTTTTTGTTGTGAGACACATTATGTGCTATAACATGCAAAGGTTTTGGTCATTCTGTTTTTCTGTAGGTCCTGTATTCTTTGACTTTACTTTCTGCAGGAGGGTTTCGCAAACGGATGTGATGATTCTGTTGGGATATCCAGCATCTTTTAGTCTTTTATTCTGGTTTTTAAGCCTGACGTCACCCTTGCGCTAACATGACTTCTGAAGGGTGGCCTGAGTACATGTGGTGTCAATTCCTCTTTTTAGTAATTTTGAATGCCAACTATCAAAAGGCGGGACATTCTTCAGCGCTGCTGGGCCGATAGCACCAGCCAATACCTCAACAGCATCATCACACTCATTGGCGAAACCCTCCTGCAAAAAGTAACGTTAAAGGAAACAGGACCGAAAGAAATGACTTTTCCATGTTACACAGTACTACGTACATAAGGTGTATCACAATTTTGAGAAAAGACCCAGCAGCTATGATATTGTTGTTTTCCACCCCTTGCAAGCTTTCAAAAGTGCATGTACTTACAGCAACAGGAATAGTCATTCTTGCAACATTCGTCACTAGAATAGGTTTACTGAATGCCAATCTAATGTGTATGATAATGATTGATATGTGGGGTTTAACGTCCCAAAACCACTATATGATTATGAGAGACGCCGTAGTGGAGGGCTCCGGAAATTTAGACCACCTGGGGTTCTTTAACGTGCACCCAAATCTGAGCACACAGGCCTACAACATTTCCGCCTCCATCGGAAATGCAGCCGCCACAGCCGGGATTCGAACCCGCGCCCTGCGGGTCAGCTGCCGAGTACCTTAGCCACTAGA